AGCATCACATCGAGTGTGGGGTTGGGCCTGGTGCCAGGAGCACTCACAAGAACAGAGACACTTTCTCCTCCCGATGACTCTCCAAAGATGGTCACAGAGCCTGGGTTCCCTCCAAAGCTGGCAATGTTGTCCTGGACCCAGTGCAGGGCAGCCAGCTGGTCCAGGTGACCCCAGTTCCCCCGGCTGTGTTCATCCCCTGTGCTGTGAGGAAGAGAACAGGTTGAGGGTGGGGAGCAGAGATGTCATGGCAGGACCTTCAGGACTAGAGATGGGGCTGGGGGCTCTCAGGGAGCCTTTAAGAATAAGACTGGGCTTCAGCATCTCTGAGACCCTGCTTTTATTCCTACAACATTGTGGTGATGTATAGTTCTACATTCACTCAACTGGCAACGATTTACTGAGCCTCTACTGTATGCCTGACACTATCGTATGAACTAGAGCACATCTGAGAGCAAAACAGGCAACACCTGTGACGACACAGAGCTCCCACTACAGATCACAAGCAGATAAACAGATGTACAGAGAGAATATAATGATGTCAGGTAGTCAAAGTGCATTGAGGTAAATACAATGGAATAAGGAAAAAAAACAGGGGTGGGACAGGGGATGCCATTTCAGATCGCAATCACGGAAGGCTTTTTGGAGGCAGTGGCATTTGAGGTTTTGGAGACAAAGACCTTCATAAAACAAGCACAACAAGTACATAAGTCTTGCAAATATCCAAAGAAAGAAATTTCAGACAGAAGAAAAAGCAAGTGCAAAGGCCCTGGGGCCCAGTGAAAGAAAGTGTGAGTCAGGAGGTACAGCTAGAGAGGGCCCTGGGGCCTGGCCAGAACTTTGGCTGTCATCGTAAGGAACATGGGAAGCCACTGCAGAGTTTTGCGCAGAGGCATTGCATGACTCAACGCACATGTTAAGTGATCACTCTCAGTACTGTGCGACTCAGCCTCAGTATAAAAGTGGCAGGAATCTGAAAGTGAGTGTTAGGATCATAATCAAGGTGAGAGACAGAGAGCTTTGGCTGGGGTAGGAGCGAGCCAGGGAAGATTGCAAAGTAGTGGATTCTGAAGGTGGAGTCAAGAGGGTTGTAAGAAAAGAGAGAGTCCAGGCTGCCCATGAGGCCTTCTCCTGAGCCCCTGGGAGGATACAGCAGCAGCTGAGTGGAGGCATGGTGGGAGGAGGAGGGGATCTCTGTTGGGGAGGGGCAGTGGGAGTCAAGGATTCAGCTTGTCCTTGGGAAGAGTGGGGGGCCCTTTAGACAGTCAAGGGCAGGGAGAAGGCAGTGAGTGACGCCTGCGGGATTCAAAGGTGAAGTGGGCTGGAAACAGGGGCTCTGGGCTGCTCCCTGGGATCACTGGGACTTAGTAGGGAGGGAGAGGGAGACAAGAGAGGCCTGTGGACAGGGGGAGTTGGGGACTAGGAAAGGCTGGGAAGAAGCATGTCACAGAGGCTGAGGGGCCATCTGCTGCTGCTAGGAGGTCCTGTGAGGTTGGGTGGAGAGCAGGGGGAGGTCATGGGTGACCACGAGGAGACCAGCCAAGTGGCATGGTCAGGAAGAAAGCTGGCTTGCATGGGTGGAGGAGATACACGGAGGAGAGGAAGTGGAGAGAGATCATGAAGCAGCTTTACTGTAATGGGGAGCAGAGACACAGGCTGTGGCTGAAAGGGATGAAGATGATACTGCCAAGACTGGCCTGGGATGTCTTGCTGACGGTAGACCAGAATCCATCCTCCATCTCCCTAGGCCTTCTCATCAGTGAGTGGAATCCCTCCCACAGCCCTCCTATCACTCACTTGGGATTAGGGTGCTGGGATGTTAACCCTTAGTAAAGGTTCATAGTAATTGCACCTTGAAGGAGATCTGACTCCTGTCCCCATGGAGACCTGATGGGGAAGACTCCATCCTTGCTTCCTGCACTTGCCAGATTTCAAGCAGAAAATGGGGTGAGGTGGCCGTAATAGTCCTCCAGGAAGGGATCAGATGCTCCCACACCCCACCATTTGCAGCCCCCATTTCTTTACCCACAACATGCTCTGAGCTCCCTCTGTGACTCTGCCCCGTCCCTCCTTTCCATGAGAAGTCAGATGTGTCAACCTTCAAGGGCTGTGTTGCCTGCTAAGTGTCATGACAGAGAAATTCAATGTGCTGGAGAAACATAGGTGAAGAAGAGACGAGTCTTTCAGTGGAGGTAACTGAGGGTTGGGTCTTGCAGGATGAAGAGGAGTTCTTCAGGTAGAGTTAGCACTCCAGGCCAAGGAGCAGCACATGCAAAAGCTCAGAGGCAAGCAGACGAGTGTGGCTGGGGAGTGAGAGGGTAGGTAGTATCCAATTGTGATGAGGCTTGGATGCCTTACTGTGGAACCTAGCTAAGGTCCCCTGAGGTCTGGCGTGACCAGAGCTGTGACCCAGCGTCCTTGTGTTGGGGGCCAAAGTGCAGTGAGGAGAGTCTCATTTCTTACCTGAAGAATCCCCAGATGCCCAGGCGGTATTGAATGGTCACCACCACAACGTTTTCATGGGCAGCAAGGGCCAGCCCATCATAGGTTGATGCCGCACCCATCCTTAGCCCCCCTCCGTGGATCCACACCATCACCTGGGCAGGAGGCAAGTAACACACCAGTTACAGGACGCAGAGCCAGGGAGGTGTCTTGTTTGGTGACCTACCTATTGGTCACAACTGAAGGAGGATGTTATCCAAAGTTCACCAGCGCCCAGCAAGGTTGCCAAAGGTAGTCTCTCTTCTCCATAATTCTCCCAATTGGGGCCCAAGCCACCACCCCACTGTACACACTCCAACTACCCGGCCTCCAGTGCCTTTCTATCCAGCCTCCAGTGCCTCCTCCTCCCAAGGCTCTTTATGCTGAGAACATCATCATGGGTATAGCAAAGGCTAAGGATGTTGTGTTCTCCCCCTCACTCCCATCACCCTCAAGCCTGGACTGTTCATGCAGCTCAGCGTACCCTTGGGGAGCCCTTGTATCTCAGCTTCATCTCAGTTAACTCACTCCTGGTGAATTAAACTTATCTGTGCATGAATGATTGTCTCGGGAAGCACACATGCCTGTGGTGGTGTCTCTTCCTCAAATGCCTCCTCTATGCCTCTGCATTCCCAAATCCTATCCATCCCTTAAGAGCCCAGACTAAGACCCACCCACTACAGGATGCCTTCAATCTACGGACTAACACTGTCTGAGAACTTACTATGTGCCAGGGACTCTGCTAATACCCAAGGATGAGAGTGGATACAATTCCTCATGCATGGTTCTTGCATTTTAAAAGTCCACATGTAGCAGGGAAGAAGTGAAAGAGTTAAAATAATAATATTGTAATAATAATACTAATAAAATATAAATTAACTGATAACATAAACTATGTCCCAAGTGCTGTTCTAAGCACAGTAAAATAAACTATCCATTGGGTAGATACTAATACTGTCCCATTCTCCAGGTGGAAAATGGAGGCACTTAAACTGCCCAAGGTCCTACAACTTAAAAGTGGTAGCAGCAGGACTTTAACCCAGGCTGTCTGGCTCCAGAGTCCACACGTTGAGCTGCCCAGCATACTGCAGGCACCGGTCACAGTGCAGAGTCCACTGTTAGGGTAGTGGTATGAGCCTGCCTCTGCCTATTTAGCCAGGGACTGAGATCAAGCTTAGTGGTTACCCTTGACTGATCATATGTGATAACTCTCATTTTGAGGAAACAGAGGCTCAGAAAAGTTAAGAAATGTCCAGCTAGTCAAAGGAAGAACCAGGATTTAAACCTAGACCTTGTAGTTCTAGAACCTGTGGCCATTCCTGGAGGTTCTCCTGCCTCCAGGTTCCCAGAGACCCTGTTTCTCCCACACCTCTAATCCCTGCCTGCCTCCTGGGGAGGGACTGAATGTGCATTCCTCTTTGTGTGAAGGCTGAGCCCGCAGGCTGGCCTGCAATAACATGCTGAAGAGAGGATATGTCTCTACAGCCCAGATGGCAAGATCCTTGAAGGCAGGGGCTGTGTGGAGTGGGTTCATGATCTTCTTTTTCCTGAAGCCCCAGGTCTAACTGTGTATATGGGGCACTGAGTACACAATAGAAGAATGAATGAATGAATGAATGAATGAGTAAAGCTTTCTCCCACTTCCCGAGTCTACAAAGCATATGAAGAGCCAACTTCTAGTCCCACATTTGCAAACCTGCTCTCCCACTCCTGGGCACCATGCCACGGTGCCCTTGGGAGACTGGTTGGACACAACACCCCTTCATTTTACACCCTGGAGTGGCCTCCTTTGCCAGAAAATCCTACCCACCCTGCAACCTGCAGCTGTCAGCCTGCCCCACCTCCTGCCCTTCATTTATTTGGGAAATGCTGACTCACAGGGTCATCAGCCTTTGCCAAGACAATTAGGGAGGGAAAATAGGTACAGAAAAATCCAGATATTTGGCCAAAGGCAAAAGGAAGTGCTTCTGGGTTTGTCCCACGTTTTCCCTTTAAAGTCAGTACCCGGACAGTGAAAGTTACCCCAGATGAATATTGGTGTGCTGGAGAAAGGCCACATACAAGCT